CCCCAAAACCCCAAAACCCCAAAACCCCAAAACCCCAAAACCCCAAAACCCCGTTAATTTTTGAATTTACTGAAAACTAACCTAAAATTTTAATATATTTTCCTAAACAGGATCAGTGATTCAAACAGAGCTTTGATAAGTCTCATCCTCTTCTTCCCGGTCATTAAGGTCACCTACAAGGTCAAGATCTTTTGAGTGCATTTTCACAGTCTCTAGAAGCTCTTTTTCAAGATTCACCTTGGAGCTTTGTCTAAAAAGGCCGATTTTTTCTAGAGCATCAATGACTTGATTTTCCTCTTCCTTCTCGTCAAGGAGGGTTTGCATGCTGTGGAGGACAGCTTTGTCAAGGTCTTCTTTCTCTTTAGCAGCACGGGCTTGGAGATGCTTTCTTTGATTGCGTTTTATCTGGTTTTCGACAGACTGATCAAACTTGTACAAGTCTTCATTTTCTTCAGGAATTTGGCTCTCAACGGCCTCTCAGATTTTTCGAAATTTCGTACTGTCAAGCTCAGGAATTTTTCCTTCTAATAGTTCAATTGCTTCCTTTTTAATCGGGTTTTCATCAAATTTGGCTCTCTCGTCCTCGATACAGTCAACCATGAAAAGATTGCAAAAGAAGATTGTAGCTGAATCATAGAAGAAATCTGGTCTTTCACTGTTGTGGTCTCCTTCAAATTCGGCCAGCCCTTTGTCTCCGGAGTAAGCTTTATAAAGCTTTTTAGAATGGGAAGGACTGACAAAGTCGTCTTTAGTTCCGTAGAAGAACTTTCAGGGGACGGTTCATTTCTTCGCTTGCTTTAGTATGTCAAGCTTGTTAATGTCAAAATTTGCCTTTTTAAGAATTGTTCTTCTCATCATTCGCAATCCTATTTTTCAGACAAATGTTGGTATTTTGCTATGTACCTTACACAGCTCAAGACATAGCTTTTTTAAATTTGAAAAAGGTGAGTCTAAAACCAATCCCGATATCAGAGGGTCTTCTGATGAATAGAGGAGTGAAGCTACAGCTCCCATGGATTGTCCCCAGAGGCCAATAGACGATACGCTATCTTGAGATCTGAGATATTCAATTGCCGTTGAAATGTCATCTTTTTCGTACCAACCTAGGCTTACATAATCTCCGTCAGATCTTCCGCTTCCTGAGAAGTCTAGAGAGAAGACTGTTATATTATGAGGTAACAGGTTCAGCACAGTTGGGAGGGCATCGAGTCTACTTCCTCAGTTGCCATGACAGAAAATAACACAAGGCAGCATTTTATTAATTCTCTCATTTGAAGCTGGCTCATAATGGCTACAAACAATAGTGTCTCCTTGAGGGTTAACCAGACCTACATCTTTCCTGGCGTATTTCTTATCTTTGATAGTGAACTCTATAGGCCCAAGCTCCTCCATTGTATAAGATTCGCGAGGAGGCCTGATGATTGAGTCCACTAAATCCTTATAACTCCTGACATCTCCGTCCATTTAAACTCACAGTTGTGAATAAAATATTATTATTTGCCTTCTTCAAGCAAATATAAGGTGATTGGGGTTTTGGGGTTTTGGGGTTTTGGGGTTTTGGGG